GTGTTAGTAAAATGTTAGTTACAGCTTCATTTCAGTGCCTTATTCTCACTTATTTCGCGATTTTCGTGATTTGGGTGAAATCGTGAAATTTAATACTCGCGAAATATAAAAATCCCTGAAAATTCCTAAAAATCGCTAAATTACATACTCGCAAAATATGGCTTACGATTTTTCGCGAAATTTAATACGCGCGAAAGTAAGTGAGAATATTGTAATTTAAAGAATACTGCCGTTTTGGTAATTGTATACGGAAAGGATATAATAAACCAGTAACCAACATATCCACTAGCTTGCGTGAGTGGCTATTTTTGTTTCATACAATCAAGTCTTCAACGTTTGCATACAGCTGTTTGTCATACAATTTCATGTTTATTAGCGCCTGCAAAGGAAAAAAAAAGACCCGATACGATTATAGACTGGTCACATCAACAGCCTTCTGCTTAGATGTTTATTTGGCCCAGCTGGAAGGAATGTGCGTGAAGCGCAAAAAACTATCTGCGTAGAGGGCTATTTCAAAACTAAATTAAGTTTCTGTTTGAAGCGAAAACGAAACGAAGGTGAAGAGAAGCGAATGCAAAGCGAAACTTTATTGCAAATGGTACTTTTAAAAGCTAGTACGCAGGGGGACAATTCAATTGTAGCAGTTGTCTCGTGTTACTTACCAACATAACCTCACCAATTACATTCCATCTTTTTACTTCATTTAAACAAAAAAATAAGCATGGCGATATATGGCAGTTGCGTTGGGCAAACTAAGTACAGACAGAACGTTTTAATGCCAGATAGCACCACCTTTATACTAGCTCTAGCTTTGCTTAACCAGGTTAAGCTAGGTTTGCAACTCCGATCCACACTTAATGAAGGAAAAAACAGGGAGAAGACCAGGGACACTTTTCATGTTTGGGGAATCGTACCTGATGCTGGTTTTCCACCTTTTTCAGCTGTATCTTCAGTTCAGAGAAGGGAGGTCTTGCATTAGGGTCTTCCAGCCAGCACAGTTTCATTAGTTTGTACCTGTCGCAAGTCAAAAAATGTATGCATGGTTTGGTAAGCGATATTTCGTTTGGTCCATACCAACCAGAATGAAAGGAGTTTCAGAAAAGTAGTCTGTCATTTTCGGTTTAGATTTCCGAGATTAGACTTTTAACTTTTGTATGTATTTTACTGGTTTGAACGATTCGTCAAGTAAACAGATAGTCACTACAAGTTGGCAAAGGAATCACATTTGATTATAAACTTTCCTCAAATGGTTTCCAGCGGAGCTTTTGCACGCGCAAAGCGCGCGCAGCGGATCACCATAGTTAAGAACAGGAGCCCATCAAATGGAGCCTCCGTCTCCCATAAAAGCCCTTGGAGTCAACCCTTTCCCGAGTAGATTATAATTAGAACGGTTCCCAGAGGAGATTTCGCGCACCGACAGTGGGAAGAGCCAATCACAACCACGAAACGACATAACGACATAAACTAGTGAAACGTGACTTTAGCGTTTCATTCCTCTGAGATTTTCTTTCTTTTCTTTCTAGCAAGTAGATTATACTGTAGAGAATTTTAAACTCTGACTATGTTAATCTTAATTTTGGCTGTTTGTCTCACATTAAGACGCCATGAAGCTGGCCTGTTCCATGCATAATGATATAAACTATTCTTGCACTCTGCAGTTCTGACGGGAATCGATTCTAGTACCGGTTTTCTTGAGCCAATGTTTAAGCGTTAAGGTTTTTATTTCGGCTAAATGACTCTATATTAATCAAAGTTCTAGTTTTTTTAAGGTTTTTTTTTTCCGAAATGCGTTTATCTGAATAAATACTTGTAGTCCTTGTAGTTGTTTTGTCCGTCAGCTAGTGTGATGATTGCCCGCTATGTTTTGTAATGCCGGGTCCATCTCTCTAACATTGTTTTCTCACGAAAAGTGATCTACAGTAACCTGTGTAGCAGACGCTTGGAAGTAGCGGGCGCGAGAAAGAACGGGCGCGCGAGAGGAAGACACGCGAGGGGAGAGGGAGCGCCTGCCCGGAAGGCCCACGAAAATTGTCTCCCGTCCCCAATCTAATTATCTGGAAGCTGCTGTGTGATCTGTGAAGAATTTTGACAGAAAACAACTGACTTCGCACAAACAAAGCGTGCCGCCAAAAGGCGTTGCACATTTTATCCTTGGTCTAAATGTATCTGTTATAAAGATCAGCTGGGTTATCTGATTATTTAGCTTTAAATCGTTTTTAACCACGGGCACAATAAGTAGGAAAGAACAAAGTCAAAAATGGGTATCTTTTAAAGAAGGCATGGTGTGTATTATAAAAAGCTAAACATGGTTCTCTGAGCTAACTTAGTCACAACTGTGCAGACACCAACGATCACAGGGTACGCGGAAAATGACCATTGTTTTTACTGCGCTAAGTGGCAGCCGTTTTTGGAGCAGACATGTCTTACTAAGCTGACCTAAACTTCAGAACACTTGCAAACTGTACCGAGACGTTTTCTGCTGCAGTAACGAGACATAAACAACCAATCTCAGGTCGCCTCCGAACGAATAATACAATAGTGAAAGGTTTTTCAAATTCATGCCCCTGGTAAGTGTTTCATTTCATCAATCCTGTCCAAGTTTTGATGGTATGCGTTCCATTGACAACACAAGCCGCCAAGTTCTTCCGAGCAAAGAATATTTCCTCTGATCTTCATTGCAACGATTCGACAAATCTTTTGTCTCTCACAACTTCTGCTAATGCGTATCTGATGTCAATTCTTTCCTTCGTAAATACCGCTTAATTTACAGTTTTCTCGCCCAGCGCGGTTACTTTTTCCCTTGAGAGCCTCTCGACCAATTGAAAACACGCGCACTCACAGAATGCGAGTTGAAACAATTTTCGTGGGCCTTCTGGGCAGGCGTTCCTTCTCCCCTCGCGTGTCTCCCTCTCCCGCGCCCGTTCTTTTTTGCGCCCACTACTTTTAAGCGCCTGCTACGCAGGCTAGATCTACAGATGCGAATTCAAAGGAAAGAATTGAGCTTGAACTTCTACATTAACTGCTGAGAATTGCCCTGTTAGTCATTCATAATTCTTTAGGCGCAGATACAATCCATTTTGTTTTTCTTGAGATAAGTTAGCCTGAGTATCAGGCGTTTCTCAGGAAAAGCGGAAAGATGGAAGCGAAAAAGGGAGAGAGCTGAAGGTTGAGAAACGCCTGACACAGATACTTTTTGCAGATGCTGGAGCCTTCCACCCCCACACAGCATGATTCGATACCATCCAATCAAAATCACTTTCGGTCATTGGGTTGTCAGCTTCAGGTGTCAAAAAGCTCGCCTAAAATAAATCTCACTTTACGGTCTGGCCGAGCTCCGGTGCTTGTGTTGCTACGATTTCGCTGTTTTCTGAAACCTTCAATGAGGAGTTTTCGAATACTTGTAATGTAAAACCTGCGTTTTTGAGTAATTATAGCATGTTTTAGTAATTTTGCTAGTGTAAGATCGCCAACGCTCTGTTTGTAAACAAACGTGTGCCCGGAAAATTGTAAATTGCTTTTGTTTACAGAGTTACAACAGGCGCTTGTCTGGCAGCTAGAAAGCTGATGTTATCCCTCGTATTCTCGGGTGGTTGAAAGGAGCTGCAAGAATAAATAGGAAGGTGCGATGGTGAAACACCTATGCCTAGAAATTATCAAGCAGCAGCAAATTCTACCTCTTCACAGAGTGCTCGTGAAAGCTGTTACAAGTTCAAAAAGAAGTGAGAGCCTATAGCAAAGGTCAATCCTGTTGGCCAAACATGATGGCGCTGCTTGAGCTTAAGACATTTCAAAAGTGAGAAAATTTTGGAAGAAGAAGCGAACGAATTCCAGTCACGTACGCTATCGTAACCGTCACAAGCAAAGTCAAGCTTTTTAAAAGCATTGGTGCTGTCGGCTATCTCAATACATGGCTACCTCGCTCTATTTTCATTTACAGTAACGATACCCTTTTAACGGCAGGATGTTGTAAATCAGAACTTAGATATCTGAAACACTGATATCGTCTTCCTTGTCCCGGTCTTGTGAAACCAATACTCGGACATAGTTTCGGCAGAAGCTAGTATATGAGGCTTTTCCATACTCCGAGTACATCTTTTCTTTAAACTAAGAGGCCTTGAAAACACAATTCTTGCTCGGGTTTTATTTTTATTCCAGGAAAGAACTAGAGAGCGCCCTCTAGAGCCTTTCTGAATTCCTCTCTGCGTCTCTGTCCATAAAAGTATCACATAACGGTAACATGAAATCAAAACATCTATGAAAAATTTCAATGGCTTCTCCTTGCCGATCGCTCTTGCGGTCGGTGACGTCAGGGGTTATTGTGTGTTATCCAATCACTGCCACATCCAGATTTTGGATGTGTCACACGATTTGCTTAATGGTTTTGTGTCAGGCCTTCCTTTCTCTTCTCCCCCTCCCCCCTCCCCCATCTAAAATCCCTTCTCCCCTAGCCCCTTAGGAAGGCCTGATACTCAGGCTAGAGATAAGTGGGTCTTTGGACCGGAGCGCGATGTCATAAATTACTCCGTTTACAGCAAATTACTGTTGAGTGAGCTTCACAGTCGAGCAACTGTTCTGTTCAACTTTTCAAGTGCCCTTTTTATCAGGCAACACTCATGCTAATACAAATCAGTTGTAAAGGAAGACTGCAATTTCGGAACTAAAGCATCCCTCATTAGTTGCCTCTTAGGTCATCGCTTTTGCACGCGGCGAAATCCACTCCACGGTGATAACAAAAATCAAATGATCCTGGTACTTTTTCGGCGGTGACCATCGAAAAGTTCAAAATCGTCCACAGAACGTTTAATCGTCGACTCTTTTCGAAGTGCACGCTTACATGTAGAATGTCTGACGGCAAAAAAAAAAGAAAGAAAACACTCGCAAAGATAACCTTTCAGTGATCCTCAGATCGCTCCCTTTGTCCCATCGCTTCATGCTCAGAGTTACGTTTCAGAGTTACTCAGAACGGTATTAAAACGTTGCGAAAGTTATGAAATAATTACTTACAGTTCATCAGCAACATGTTTTGGTTTAGGCATCCTGTATCCGTCCTGAAGTAAACTTACAATCTTCCTGCCATCCATTTGAGGATAAGGGGAACCTCCTAAAAGAGACCATTAAGCCAGTCAGTGTTGATATGACAACACGTTGGCACATGGCATGTGCTTGCAAAAAAATTTTTGTGTTGCTATAGTTGCTTTGACTCAAATTGGAAGGATCAATATAATATAAGTGGATGTTTACTTTCCTGATGTAGGAGAAAATATATATATCTGCCCCATTCTGGCACCAGAAATTCCATTATGTAGTTACGTGCTTTGAAAAGTTGCAATAATCATACGCGACCTTTGGCGAAGAGAATTTTGCCTTTCCAGACGTCAAAACTAAATCAGAATTTGACGTTTTCCTGCAGTCTTTACCAGTGATCTGACCGGATAGCGCCCCTGACATGAGTCTAAAAAGGCTTTCGACGAACTTCTTTCGTCAGACGGGATGATTCAAGCGAAGCAACCAACTTCCGGTTTCTGTCCACGACGTTTCACTGCTGTGTTCTCCATAGGGAACCCACACTCATATTTGTCAACTGCAAATGGAAACAAATGAGAGAAAAAAACTTACCTGTTCTGTTCTTGAATCTGCTGCGGGGCAAAAAAAAAAGGGAGGTTGTTGTACGATGCAAAAACGATGTTATTGTTTGTGTCAGCACTTTGTCGTAAATTTTACAATGCTTAATTTTATGGGTTTGGTCTTGCATTTCACTGTTGGTGTCACGCGGTTGTTATTATCGTCTGGTATTTCACTGTTGGTTATCAATTAACGGTACTGTAATTAGCGCGCGAGAGAGGGAGAGAGAAAAGAGGCAAGGTATGAAATTAACTTGGGGACCGATTTATTTTCAGGCCGTACTCAAGGCTTGCGGCTTTTTCACAAAATTTAACCCAACAACAGTTGAAGGGATAAAATGTAAGGTGGGCCACCTTTTTCTATCTAAAATAAAAATGTTCGCATTCAAAAATGACCGGAAATTGATTACTGACTTTTCGAGCTATAAATGCCTTCACTTGACTGGACCGAAAGTCAACTTTACGTTTAACGTCTGAGAGGAGCTTTTCTGCTTAGTTCGATTGTATATATATCCAGATGTTGCCTTGTTGTATTCGTTTTAACTGGAATGGTCATCGTGGAATGTTACCTCGCGCGGCATTACGTGGTAAACTGGTCCAGTCAACTGGAGGCACAGATTTTACGAGAGCAGCTGTGGAGTTTCGACCCATGTGACCATCCATTACCGTTAATTCAAATTGTTAATAAATTAATAACCAAACAGTTAAAAGCGAGACGATATTAACAACCGCGTGACACCAACAATGAAATGCGAGACAAACCACATAGAATAAGAATTGTGAAATTTAAGGGCAAAGAGCTGAAACAAACATCGTTTTTGCGTCGTACAACATCTCCCATTTCACTTTGCTCCGCAGCAAATTCAAGAACAGAACAGGTAATTTTTTATCTCTCATTTGATTTCCATTTGCAGTTTACAGATAAGAGTGTGGGTTCCCTATGTGTTCTCTTTACTGAAGCTTACAATAATATTACCTCATATGGTGCTACCATTCACACATATAATGAGGAAAGTTTGAAATTTTCATTCGCGAGCTTTAAAGTACGTTATTATTAATGACTTTTTTCCAACGGAACTGATTTTATACGTTTTTTAAAAATAACAAACAAACAAACAAAATATAAACAAACAAACATTAACAACAATAACAACAACAGCAAAAAACTTGGAAAGTTAATAACCCTTACCAATTGTAAAAATTTCGTAAAGTAAAACTCCATAACTCCACCTAAATGGGACAAAAGAAAGCGAGAAAAGGTAGATATATTTTGCTTCATTTTACAAAATTTTTTACAAACATCTTAATCTTATTCTGCTTCTACTTGTAGATGGGAGAGATGTTTATTGGCGTCAGTAACGCTTTTTAATCCAGCGTCTGATGTTATTAATTTTGTGTTATTGAAAGCAGAAGAAAAAATTTCCTTACACGTCGCTCTTGGTGGTGTATTTTCCAAAAAGTAGGGCTTCATATGCGGTCCACTTCACTGGTAAACGACCCTACATATGAACAGGGTAAACGAACAAGACAGATACCAACTTGACAAATAAGATAGAATAGAGAATTAACGAAAAGTAGGCGAAATAGTAGAAAAAAAAGACAATCATAGTCTTAAACTGTAGCAAACTCCGACTAATATTTGTGCGGCTCGGAGGAGCACAAACATGGAGTCCCCATATTGAGCCGTATAAATTTCTCTTACGCATTTTGAAGAGCAACTCAGCTGCGGAAAACTGCACAGACGTGAGACTTGGCCAGGTCGTTAATTCATCGATATTCTATAATATCTGAAATTCTTGGCTTCAGACATTCCACAGCTTTGATTTTCGTTTTCGACGGCGTCACAGTGAAAACCACCAATATTTTGCCTCCACAATATGCTTCGAAGCCAAGCGTAGTATTAAGACATCTAAGCGCGTTGGCAAGTCATTAGCCATATTAATTGCTGGTTTCACTGTGTTACACCATCGAAAATATAAATCCCAATCGTTTAATAGATAGTCCTGAATCCTGGTAATATAGAAGCTAAATATGCAAAGACTCTTCCCAAGATTGATGTGCATGGAATTTTTTCTATGCCAAATATTTGGAGAGATATTTTACCTAAAATGTAAATGACCGTGGAGACGCTACGTTGGTGACCCTCTAGGGGGTTCCGACGTTGAGGCCGGGAACCAACAGAAACATCTGTTACCGAGTTTTGCTACAAAAGAGTGAATTCATCCCTCAAGGAACTCCTAAACAGTAATAAATTTTCTAATACACTATATGAGGACTGTTCAGATAGAAATATTCAAGCGTACTCTACCACAAAACAAAGGACCTTTATGAACAGAAATTTTGTAAGCATATATCTTTTTAGCTCCTCTAATACTCCATGAAAGCAAAAACTCAAAAGGATCGATAATTCCTTAGTATACATTTTGGTGACGTCATATGAAAACAAATAATTTATTATTACTCAGAGTATGTCAGTGGCAAAACCAACCAATTCAAAGTGTGCATACTTCGACAATCAACAAAGTACATGTGCAATATTTTGTTTGGAGAGCAGCTCTTCTTAAAACATGTGATCTAGAAAGTAACGACATCAACAGAGCCCACATGTATACTTTCCCTAACCCTATTCAAACCCCTTTGCAAAAAAATTGTATAACTTCAAAACCGTTTACGCTATGACCACCAAACTTAGCCATTTTTCCTAAAAACTATCTGGGAACATTGTAGAGTGGTCTTCATGCGTGCGTCAACATTGAAGTTGCCGTGGTAACTGTTACGCGGGTAATCTTTTAGGGGACGGGTAGCTTGCAAACTAAACTGAACGCAGGGTTGTCGGAACAGCAACAAGAAGATTTATCCCAAAAATGAACGTCGTTTCCGCGAAATAAAAGCAAAAAAGCCCGTTTTGAAGAGGGTTAAGTGGATTATTAACATCAGTGCTTTCTCTTTTAGGTCTGTTTCAAATATATTTCATACCTTTGTCTTTCTTTCATAAATGTTTTCCTGTTGCACATCCCTTGCCATTCCAAAATCTGTCACTTTACAAATTTCATTCTCTCCGACCAAAACATTTCGAGCAGCAAGGTCTCGGTGAATAATCTGTGTAAGATTTCACAAAACTATGCTATTCACACATGAACTCTAGACGGTCAAATCCTTCTGTTCTAGTTTGATACTGCTACATTTCATTACAATTCTGAACTCATTCTTTAAGATTTACTATAGTATCTGTCTATTAAAAATTCTCAAATTTTGAGTACAACCTCACAACGTCTTAATCCACATTTGTCCAGCCTGCATGTTTTACAAAAAATTTCATGAAATCACTATTGTAGAGGGGCTTATTAAAACGCAAAAACAAGAAAGTGGCTCAAATTGAGGGTACCTGAGTGTACTCATTATAATTTTTGTTGCAAAATAGAGACAGTCAGGTCAGCAAGAAACTGATTTAAATACAACAGGCAAACATTTCAGCTTACAGATTTCGAAGAGAGGTAACTCATTCCATCAGCAATTTGCCAAGCAAAGGTTATAAGCCTCTGTGATGTCAGACTTGTTTGGGGTTTGATATCTGGGTCTTTGTAATAAGTGTCCTTTAATCCACGGCTCTTTCTTAGGTAACCCAGGAGATCTCCATACGGGACATACTCAATTAAGATTAACAAGGGCTCTGAGTGAAAAGAATGAAGTATTAATTTAGTTAGACGTGAATAGAGAGAGTTGAGTGAGACGTAAGAGGGAAAATTAAGACGACAAAGGAAAGAAAGAAAACGAAGAAGAAGAAGAAGGACGTTTTAGCATATACTTTTAAAAGCTGTTGATATTTGCTTTTATAAACGAAAAAACAAGATTTAAAAAAGGAAGCTCTTGAACTGTAAAGGGCATTAATATGGGGCTGGACTGTATGGTTAAGGTAAAGGTGATCCCAAGTATAAGAACCTGTCATAGATTTGCGATGAAACTTAGGTACCTAGACAAAAAAAATCGAGACGATGATTTAAAAAAAGTTATAAAAAGTGGAGGTCACCGGGCTCGTTTTCACGGTACAATGCTAAAGAATACTGCAATTTAACGATGTTTCGCGAAAAGTGTGCGCAGCCTTAGACAACGAGAGCACGGAGGAAAATCTTACGACAATTTGCTTTTGTGGGTCTTTTTTCAAATGACACATACCCACCTCTACCCCACAAACAGCGTTGGACGCTTGTAGCCCGAAATTCCAAGTTTCGACATTATATAGGGTGGAGGGAGGGAGAACTGACATATATTTTCGAAAAGGCTGCACTGTTTTATTACGGCACCCAAACTTACAGGAAATTATGAATATTGCATCACTGTCCCAAGGACTTTCGCCCAGGATTGTCAACAAAAAGGCGCACTTTTTTTCCATTATCCACTTGATAACAAAAAGACATTGACCCCATTCTATTGTTTATACACCTACGAACCAGAACATACCTATGAATCGCTTTGCTTTGCAGAGTTGGTTTAATCTTACTTTGGATATGTGCTTTTTGATTCCAAATTTCTCAGTCCGTGCAATTAAGTAAAGTTGCCATTTTCTCTCGAAAGTGGACACTTTATGCATTCCTTCTAAACTATGAGGGAGGACTAAGACGAGTTTCAAAATGATATTGCATGGTTGATAGAAGGAGGCATTGAAATATACGATTTTAAAGAAGATAGATCGGAATAAAACAATTAGGAAGCAATTAGATGAAGACGGAGCTTAAATGCTACTTGATGTAACTTAGCACAAGTTTTACATCCTTTATTGAGGCCTCGGTAACGACGTTGAGGTCAGCAACATGCGTAGCGCTTACGTTATGCATAATCCCGGCACATTGAGACTCCGCTCGAACAGAAACAAAATGTTAAAACCGTTAACGTTAAAGTTTCTGTTCGATCAGCTTCAATAGCTATAATGTTTATTCGGACGCTCCTTTTAACGAAGGCCATCTAGTTACGCGCGGTGAGAGGTGCGCAGCTGAAAACCAGCAAATCACGTTAAATTAATTCATTTAAAATCTAACTTACCAGTTTCGGTGACGCATCCTAGTAGCTTGATGACATGTGGATGAGGCTTCAACGTCTTCATCACTTCAAGCTCCGATAACAAGTCCTTTCTGTCCGACTCGGGTGCGTTCGCTGAAATATGAGGTAATTAACGTTTTCAAGAAATGTTTTTGTCAAAAGTAATTAGTTCGTCTCATGCCAGTTACACTTTTGTGGTTATTGTAACCTTAAATTGTTGGTTACAGTGATCAATCAATAGTTTACCTTTTAACCTTTTGACAGCCACTTGTGTCTCATGCGTTGTTCCTCCTAGGCCAGTAACCTTTCCCTTAGCAACCTGTCCAAAAGCACCTTTGCCAATTATTTTCTCAATAATCACGTTCTCCCGAAGAATCTCGTAAGAAATTGTTGACGAGTTTAGAGGTTCATACTGGTCTGATGATGTAGTTTCGCTTGACGGTATGACTTCTGTTGTATTAGAGTACTGGCGTGCCTTAACCAGTGGCATATATTGGCGTCCAGAAGAAACCTCTGAAGGCTGTTGTTCATGGGAAACTTGCTCTGGTTGACGATGTTCCATTTGTACTGCATCCTGAAATAAACGAGAACAGACCACTTTAAGTATTAAATGCGAACATCATTGCAGTTATAGACGGAACTTTTTTCTATTCTTCTATATGATATTCATTTATTCATTATTTCATGTTCATACGAAAACATTACATGACCAGATCCCAGTTGGCTTTCTTAAGGTGGCTGGACCCTGGACCCAGTATTTTTTGTGGACATAGCTTTACCTTTGGGCCTCTCATACGCAAACAGTTTGGTCTTCATTGCAAAAAAGTTATAATACGACGATTACACATAGAGTAAAAAGCATTATGATATTGTAGCTGTCGCAATCGGAATGAATATCACGTGAAAATGACGTCACAAGGGCTCTTAATCGAATTATAGGCCTTATTTGCGAATTTTCACAAAAATCTGTTACAGGAATTTCGAGATACCGTGGAATTTCTACATGAGGGCTATAATTTATGCGTAAACTGAATACTGTCTTACCCTGGTGCATATACATACTTTCCTGTCTCTCGAAATCCCGCAAGTCTACCTGCCTCTAGCGGTCTAAAGAACGTAAAAGGGTCATTCAGGTTAAAACAATGAGTGACAAAATTTCCCAGAAACGTCCAGGAAGTAGCAAATTTGCTTCCATAAAGTCCAGTATTCAGTTTGCGCATAAATTATAGCATTAATGTAGAAATTCCACAATACCTCAATGTTTTTGTGAAACTTCGCACATCAGAAGGCAAGCACCCAAAACTTTTGACATAAAGCATTTCCAGAGAAAATACGGATAAGCGCTGCAATTAGATTGAGAGCGAAAACGATTGTGATGTTATTGTCACGTGATATTCAACACGTTGACAATACACAAGACCAAGTTTCTTTGATTATTAGAAACGCAACCATGAAATCGTGTCCTTTAGATCCTTCACCTACATCTATGGTTCTATAGATTCTTGACGTGCTGTTACCGATAATCACCTGCATGTTCGGTTAAGGTCAAGACTTGAAGTGACTGACTAGGCACTCAACTGGTTTACATCTTACCTCTCCGACCGTACACAGTGTGTTGCAGTTAATGTAGGGCTGTCAGATACCTTTCCGTTCGCGCAAGAGGTGTTCATAGTATATACCAGCGAATTACTCCATATAGTGCGTATACACTTGCCAAGCGTGCACTCTTACGCCGATGATGCCCAATTGTACTTGGCATTCAGTCCAAAGGTGCAGGGTGATGACGCTAGTGCATTAATGGCTATGCGTGATTGCATCATGGATTTAACGAATTGAATGATTAGAAACCGACTTATGTTACTAGAAACGACGAAAAGACTTTGCTGCACTCTGCGCTTCAGCCATATTACACCATGTATGAGCTACATAGGTTTCCGTTAAAGCAGCGCATTCATTTTAAGATTTTGTTCATCACATTCAAGGCTATCCATGGCATACTTTCAGAACTTAGTTTCTTTGAAACTGCAAGGCGCATATAACCTCCGATCGTCTGGTGGGATTTTGCTAGCATCGCCAACATTTAGAACTGAGGTTACGCTAGTCGATAGGTCCTTCCAGGTGGCTGCGCCCAAGTTTTGGAATGTTTTACCAGGCGGGCTTTGCAACATTTCTTACTTGCATACTTTTAAGAGCCTTTTTAAGACGTAGCTTTGTAAGTTTGCCGATTATAGTTGAATAAATTTTGACTGTTACATATCGATAATTTAGATTTTTATTTTAGAAGTGAATACATTCTTATTCTTTTTGGTGAATTTTCGTACTGTAAATAGTTTTTTCCATGCTTTTATTACTAATGTAATGCGCATTTGATCATTTTTTACGAATACCTGCGCAATACAAGTTATGAAATTATTATTATTATCAATGTTGTAATGTATTGACAATAAAGACCAAGCTATAAGAGGTCCAAAGGTGAAACGTATGCCTACAATAATACCTGGGTCGAGCAAACTTAAGCTCAGTTGATAGAGCGTTAGGTTAAGCATCGGTCAAGGTTTCGAACCCCGTACAAGCTGGTTTTTTTTTAAAGGGTCTCTTCACATTAAGTTATTTTTTCCGCGCTTTTGAATATGATTGTCATAGAATGTTTTTCTTGCGGGCTGAACTTGCAAAGAGGCAAGAAATGAAGTTCTCTCAGTGACACTGAATTAAACCTGGGCACGAGGTACATTTTAGGGTACATTTTGGGATATCAGATTCAATTTTTGTTTCTTGTCGTAGAGTGCACGACGGAAATTTTTTAAAGGAAACCTTTTCGACAGCGTACATCAGTAACCAGTCTTTGTCGCGTTTTTCAATTTCTCGAAGGGTCGCTCTGTGTTGCCTACAGTGTATAATTCATAGCGCACAAGTACTAGTGATGTAATAAATGGCATAAGCGCATACACTTGTGCATGTGGTATGGAATACAATTTATGACAGAAACATTGTATGAAATGTTGAGAAGAACTCAAATATTTGTATCGTGTCAGACCATGACGATTAAACTTTATATCACACTAACACAGTAGAATCTCCATTAAGCTGCCAGCCTCTACTAAGAGGCCAGTTGTTAGAATGCCGAAATAATTGTAGAAAAGAATTGTAAATTCAACCTCTATCAAGTGGCCAGGTCAGTCGCTCAAACGGCCGTGACCACATCTCGACCATCCCGACGTTACAACTGCCACCATTATATCTATTTATCTATCTATTTCGGGCGCACCCGCACAGTCTGTCTCATTCCCTTCTGTTGACCATAACAGATGCAAGATCCTGCTTTGAAAAGATCGCTCTCACTCTCTAGTTGGTCAATAAATGTGGTTGCTGGGCGCCCCCTTGAGCGTCTGCCGTGTTTTGGGTCCAAAGGTATTATTTGGACAACAGTCTCTTTATCGCTTCTCTAACAGCACGTACGTAGCAGCCTTGTGTAGCAGCCATCAAGTTGTTTTTCCATTGCAGCAGTTAATGTCCATCTCTTTTGACCAGTACATTAGAACAGATTCAACTGAAGTTCTAAAGAAACTTATCTTCAATTCTCTGCTGAGGATTGATTTCCACACCGCTGTTAGTTTGTTGCTAGCGGCCCAAGCTTTTCCTTTAAGAGCCTAGGTACTTGAAATCGTCCACTTGTGTTAGCTTTGAATTGTCTAGGGTAGTAAGGTCGCCCTGTTGTACGAGGTAATAGGCCATGTAGTCAGTCTTGCTGGTGCTAATGTGCGGACCAACTTCTGTAGTAGCAGTTTCAACTCGCCCTAGCAGTGATTGGGCTTTATTCAAGTTATCTGAAATCAATGTGATGTTGTCAGCAAAGTCTGTGTCAGTGATCATAACTGCAGGCAAGCAACGACGTCCTCTCTCAGTCAGTGTTAATCCAAGGTCTTCGTAGCCTTCAATTGAGCATTTCATTGCGTAGTCTAATGCGCTATGATAAACAGGAACGGAGCTAATGTGCCACCCTGCAGTACTCCAGCATGGATAGTAAAGAAATCTGTTTCACCATCAGGTGAGAAAACTTTAGCTCTCCAGTGTTATGATTCATCGACGCTATAACCGAGACGATTTGATCTTGGATGCCGTAAGCCTTCAGAATGTCCAACAATCTGTCTCTGTTCACCGAGTCAAACGCCTTTTTGAAGTCAACAAAGGTAAGAACTGCTGTAAGTATCTAAGCAACTGTTCATCTTCCTGGTCGGAACCCGTTTTGATTTGTGCGCAGTAGAGGGTCTAAGTGGGGGCGGGTCCCGTTAAGGAGCATTCTATTCTAGATCTTGGCTGCTGTTAGAATTAGTGCAATACCACGATAGCTCTGAGGTTCGCTGAAATCGCCCTTTTTAGGTGCGGTGACTATAATGCTCTTGAACCATAGCTCAGGTTTTCCGCCACCTTCAAGCATCATCTTACACACGTCCAGCAACTGGTCATTGACCACTTTTCCATACCTCAGCCGGGATTTCATCTATGCCAGGTGCCTTATTGTTGGCAAACAAGTTGATGCTGGTATTGAGTTCTTCCAAAGTGAAGGCATTGGTGCTGAACAATCTTACTTACTCGGTTTCTGTTTTCAACCACGGGTTAACCTAAAAGTATGGCAAAATTATCCATCCATTTCTCCAGCCTCACGTCAGTTTGGCCTTTAAGACGACCTGTAGCTGATGAGCTCCTTCCCGTTACCTCATTGTTTTAAGTAAGTCGCATTGCCAGAATTGGGGAGGCGCTTATTTTTCAAATAGGCTTTGTTCAATTCGCTCCTTTTCTTCTTGACAAGTTCTTCCTTCCAGGGCACTCGTTTTTTACTCATTTATCTAAAATCAATTAAACTTGTATTCAAGCAGTTCACCTCATGCTCATCATCATTTTATTTTTTATTCCTTCGCGGAAAAAAATGCAGCTTTTTGAAAAATAAATAAATAAATAAACTTACAAGAAAGTCTCCTGTTTTGTCACTTGTCGTAGCAAACAACCTGAAATGGTTTAGTTAGACAAGACATTTTAAAAATAATTATATGTATACTTTCCTTGAATAACAACATCTACTAAAAAGCTTTTATTTGACGTAAAATATCCTAGTTGACATTATTTTGGGAAACGTTCTGAATAAATTGCAAGTTGAGACTTATGGGCCATTACTTTATGAGACGTTTTGTCTCCAGTATAATTAAATCTAACCGAATAACTTGACATTGCTGAAAGGCGGCAATGTCAATTGGTGTACTAGTCATCCAAATGTTTTGTTAATTTTTTTGTTAATTTGACGGGGAAACTAAAACAATGATTACGAGTATAGAAGTTTTTTACCATTCATGATCGAGAGTTTACCTTCTTTCCTTCGCTTTCCCTGAAAAGGAATTAAAAGGTTGAACCTGGCGGTATAAGATTATAAGAAGTTTCGGACGTTAAAATCCTTTGTCAAGTAAATTAAAGGCGTAGCTGGAAGATGGGGTGGGGGTTGGGGCGCCTTCACCTTTATAGGAGACATCCCATTCTTTTTTTCTGTAAAGACTCTTGACAATTAATAAACCAAAGTCAACAAAAAAAAAAAAAAAAAACTTCTGTGTTAAATGGAGATATCTCTGTTAAAATCCTTTGTAAAGTAAATTAAAGGGGGAGCGGGAAGGTGGGGTGGGGGTTGGGGCGCCTTCCCCTTTATAGGAGACATCCCATTTTTTTTTTCTGTAAAGACTCTTGAAAAATAAAAAACCAAAATCAAAAAAAAAAAAAAAAAAAAAACTTCTGTGTTAAATGGAGATATCTCTTCCGTTGTATTTAGCACTTAACTAGAGATAAGAACTCTGTACGTTTGTCCAGTGTTTGCAATTCCGGTAAGCGACAGCAGTCCTCTAAGCTCATTTATCCGCGCTTTTGCCTTAAGGCTAACCGAGCTGCTCTCTTTTGCATTTTTTTCCAAGGATTCTATGTCTTTTATTTGGTACGGGCTTCAAACGGGGGCCGTATATTCCAGTATAGGTCTAGCCAATGACTTTTAGTGGCAAGAAAACGCATTCCGATTGTCGTTTCCGAAGGATCGCTTGATTACACCTTACACTTTGTTCTCCTTGTTTACTATGTAGGAGACGTGTTTGCCCCAAGATGCTTTATAGTTTATGGTGACCCCCACATCTTTGGCACTTTCAACAGATTGTAGTTGTTCACCTAGAGGGTAATTTGTCCATACTGTGCGTTGTACGCATGACTACATATTTTTCGGAATTAAAGCGCAACCGTCGATTGTTAGCCTAATCGCTTAATCTGTTTAGGTCAAGTTTCAAGGCTGAGGTATCCTATTTAGGGTCATTGATCGTGCTATAGATTTTGGTGTCATAAATCATAAATAAGATTGGGCCAAGAATTTGGTCCTAGGGGTACTCCTGATATAACGGATGACCAATCTGAACAATTACCCCTTAACTCGACACGCTGCTTTCTATTCGTCAATCTAATCCATAGTAATAGACGGCCGTCTATCCCATGTCGCTGCAATTTCAGCAACAAACGCTAATATCATGCATGTCAACTGACACATGACATTCTTTTAAAAGTAATAATGCTATGACACATTGTGACCCCTTCCCGTCCCCTTTTGAGTTTTATTTCGGTCCAAAATTGATTCTCAGCTAGGGGGAAGCCCAGAGGTCTTGAGCGGAAAGTTTTTCAAAACGCCCTAAAACAAGAACCTCTTCAGTCTCTTTACCAACTGTTTGTTAATTCCTCACACAAATTCTGGCAAATTTTATTGAGGGTCGATTGCTTTGGTTATGATTGTTCAGCAAAAATAGAACCTAAGGCAGCAAATTTTTAACCCTAACATTTACTTCCTTTAAGTAGTGAAACATGTTCTGACTAGTCTTAGCTTACTGGTATTATCGCCGAGATAATAGCTTACTGGTATTATCGTCAATAAAATCAGTGAAGATCTTCCAAAAAAACAGTGTAGATCTTCCAAAAAAAGGAATATTATTCATTGACCATTGACCATACCTTTCTTATGTACCAAAAAAAGGCACACAGCTTGGACAACGATGATTCCTGCTAGAATGCTCACCAAAACTATTAAGATGGAGGAATTACAAGAACACCCTTGGCAAGCTGCAAGAATGAAGAAATTACGTGTTCTATGACATATGTTTAGCTTAATAAAGTTAAGCTTTTCGCTGCTAATATTTTAATTTATGAAAATCTTAATAAAATCGTAAAGAAATCCTAAAGAACGTTACAGCAAACACGATTTGGCTTTTATTTGATTCATATAAACAAGTTAAGTAAATTTACCGTCCGGTGGGCCTGGAGTTGCTGTACTAAATGGCAACGTGGTTGTGTGAAGGATAATAGTTTGCGTCCCGTGGATAGATGAAGCGTTCACACTAAAATCGCCAAGCTTTCCATTCTTGGCAGTCTCCTTTAGTTTGTCCAGAATCCATTTTTCAGTAACACTTGAACTGAACGTCAGACTAAGATCGACAATCAAACTCCCACATCTGAAAGTTTAAAAAAGTCAAGGTTAAAATATTGTTTTGTGCGGATTTTGGTACGTTATCTAATTCGATTACTAGACAATATTTATAGACAGGTAAATGCGGCAGAATTGCGCGCAATAGGTATTAGTTGCTACTGCATCTTGCCGGGACTTGTTCCTGCTACGAGCTTGGGAACATCTGTCTCAGAATAACAAGTTTTAGACAGGAGATTTGGAATCGTCCAAGCTCATGTTCATCATCATCATTATTTCTTGTCGTGCCAATACGGGCATAAAACCGATAAGCTCGTGTTCAGTACTGTATTAAACTAATGATAAGAATCCAATCTAAAATTTTACGAAAACAGATCTATACCTGACGTCCACCACTGTTGTTTTGCGATAGGTACTTTCATTTTCAAACATCTGGCTGAACTAAAAATTAATACCAAGAAAAATAAAACCATGTTTGTCTGATGCATTCGAATGCCACATGTTACCGATGCGGATGTCTAAATAACGTAACAATGTTACGCATCGCAACTGAGCTCCTCATATTCAGTCAATTCAGTATCACCCTTGGAGCGTGGCGATTCCCAATAAACTCCTTGCTAGCCCATTGCTACACGATATTCATCCTGGTATTGAGGCTATAAAGCAGCACTTCAGGGCTGTTTGGTGACCAGAAAAAGTGCAACAGCCTCATCCTGAAAGTGGGAACCTGACTAAATGGTACCACCCCTGCTGCAACCAGTTAGTGACGGCCTGCCGGTCGATAGCAAATTAAGACTGAAAGGCTGCAAGCAGTAGTTAACTTCTGGATTTAAGGGAGAACTTGTAAACAAGGGTTAATAAACGTAAAACGTGTCCTCGCGTCTTCACTATTACCAACATTTTATTGTACCGTAATGAGATGATGTTTTCTTCGACTATCAGTATTCGAATAGTTAAATAAAAATATGGCGAATCGCTAGTCCGTTGTCTAACGTTGCTAGAGGATATTCACGACGAGCTCAGTAACGTCGACCTCAGTTTAGACACTTCAAGAGATTCTTAATAGATTACGATTTTGCTAGTAACCAGTACCACAGAGAATGGGTCCCAGCTTACTCTGTCCGCGTTTAAACATTAGAAAATTATTGACTGCCCTGTATGTGAGAAAAAAGTGTTAAGTTACCGGATCTTGTATTGCGTTCCAAAATGACTGATCATTTACACTGCAATCCTTACTTGTGATGATAAGTGTCAAGTTGATTACCTTAGCTCTGATCACTAAAAGGAGAAGACCAAAGTATTCAAAAAGATGAATACATCAAAATGAAAACCACTCTTAACGTTCAAAAACCTGAAAATCTATCAAAAATTCATTGTACATTCGTCCTCCAGGAAGAAAACAATACTGCTTTTCCAGAAACATTTTTTTTCTAGAAAGCTCCTTGAAAAGCTCCACGTTTACGTTTGAGGCGTTTCACCATGGAATTCTACTCTGGATGACGAACTCCATAGATGTACCTATTTACATAATGAAAATAAGGTGTCGCACATAAAATCTCTAGTATTCCAAAACAAAATAACAACGTAAAGAAAGTAAACAAAGGAAATCCCTGTCATCGACAATTTGTAACCAAAAATTCGTAAGTAAACACACATTTGGACATTTGTGACAGCTAGATGTCATATTGGCACAATGAAATTTTGTTGTAGGATTTCTAGCTGACATTTAACTCTTATATATGGCCAAACACGCGTACGGCATTACTTTGATGATATTTGCTTGCAACCCAAAATAAAAGCATCTGAGTCTGTAAAACCCGAGGTAAGAAAAATGCCTTGAACGTCAAGTTATTAAAAATTTCTCCAGCCAAATCTCCTTGACAACCTAACACCATGTCGGGTGGAAATGACCGAGAGTTACGAATATAATGTCATTTATATCATTTTAGTGTTATCATTCATTTTGCGTCAAATAAAACCTTAAAATCATTCGGTCAACAAACAGAGACTATGTGGCCAGTTTCGTAAAGAAAAATGTTTAAAAATACCGTAAATGACCGATATGCAGGGATGATTTGGCCCCACCATAAAACAATGACGTTCACTGTGCGCAAAGCACTTTAACAAACAGATCAACTTACAAAGTTTGGTACTTGCAAAATCAAATCCCAAGCTATTTTTGGCTTTACAGATATAAACGCAGTCCTCCACGACCTTTGGAATATTCAGCATATTCTGATTACACACATTTTCCTGAGGGTCACATGGAGTCCAAGTTATTGTAGGTGGGGGATATCCTTCAACGTTACAGTAGATTGACGCTCGTTTCTCTCTCCCAACATAGTATTCATTTTGGAGGTTGATCACTGGAGAAACTGAGGTGAGAAACAGCAAAAATAAATAAATGAATAAATAATGACGATGTTTTGATGTTGACAATGACAGTTATGACAATCGAATCTCTCAAGACGGACACCTCTTTATACTCAGACAGCTAGAGTTGCTCCCTACTTTTCACTGCTCCCTCTATTTGACTCTCTCTAAGACCGACACTTTGTACCAGTCCCAAAGGTGTCCGTGAGAGACTGTATAATAGCAATAAAAGTATTGACAACAGTAAAATTTTTTATTTTGCAAATCTATCATAATATATAGATTTATCCTGGGCTAAAAGCGAAGCTCCCGTTGATAAGTTTATAATTTAAATCAAACAATAAACTTGAAATCTACACTGAATTAACTTTAAGGCACAATCATTTGAGGTTTGAGGGAAAGGCTAAGTGATTTTTGTGAAACATAATTTTCAAACAGTCAAAAAGTGAAAAAAATCTTACATCGAGCTCTCTTGCATCGAGTTAATAGTCTTATATTTAATCCGAAAAAATAGCAATCATCTTTGATCACAGTATATTAGGCCTGGAAAGCAAATTCTTCCCGAACAAAATAACCCAGTCGCCCAACTACATCACCTTTATTTTATAAGAGGTTAATTGGACATAATTTTATCAGTGCTATAAAGGCCGGTTATAGGACAGGATAGTCATCTGTAGTAGCCAATTTACACGTTGTAATTTATAGGTTGCATTCCTCTGTCTAAAACAGAGGCCAAAATAAAAAATCAGGCGTGATTTTTGAGGTTCGACAAGTTTACTTTATAAATTCTTGCCGACAAATCTGGTGGCGTGTAAACCAGTCTTTTATACTATTTATACATCACATCTGAGGTAAACGTGGAAACCTCGGACAGAATGCAATTTTTTCACAATTGCACTTATTCAATATTCAGGACATTCAGGACGATCGAAGCACGCGCTTCCTTTGAACAGCAAATTATAAAATTGACAACATTATAAAACTTTTTCATGAAGAGAATTCCACAATTTCGGGACTGTTCAGCCAGAACAGTCTGTTCCTATGTGGTCTGCAGGGTAATATGGGCTTTCAAGCGCAAAATTTGAGATGCGAGCTGTCAAGTATGTGAATGAAGATTGATAACGCTTCAACATAATAAATAATTTATTATATTTATTTTTTATTTATGGTTTTATTATTTTTAAAAGTGTTTGAGTCGCGCGGCATCTTGAGTAGCTGCATGTGATGTTCATGTACGACTGAAAACAACCGGTACATCTATTAAAATTGCGAAAGAGGCTACTAACAACCAATAAAAGAAATGTAATTCGGTGAAACATTTACAGAGACACCAATTTTCATTAACAAAGCCAGGTATTGAGAGTAAAATGTCTCTGAAAATCCTTAGTCATGTAAGCATAAAATGTTTAAAGCGCCGGCTTCCTGGTGTTTTAGTGGTATTTTTCAAGATGAACTCGAGGCAAAAAAATCGTTCGCAGCTTTCTTTTTACAGCCAAGTTTATAACTAAGCATTCTTCGGAACGTTTTCTTTCTATTTGCGGTCAGAAAATGTCTAAAGGCTTTTTAAAGTTCTGTTAGTTTACATTAAACCTAATAGTAGGTCAGATAATTGTCTCAAATCTTTTTGTCTTACAAACGTGCATAGACTAGCCGCCTAAACTACGCTCTACTACATAAAACCAGAAAAAAACAAACACCAAATACAATAATTACTGAGGCTTACCAGTCGAAATACAGGTCCTAAAAGCCATCAAGTAGGGCCAGAATCGCTTGGGACTTTTCACCCCTCTTACACTTGAAGCAAGGTGTAGTGAGTAAGCTCATGTTTGAAAATGATGCCATCTGAAATCGTATTTCCGATGACGTTGACAAGCGACGTATTTCTCAACCAAAAACCCAATAAACAAACTAGCCATGAATAACAGAAGAATCTTGATAGCAGCTGTATTTCATTTTGTACATCCAGTCAAAAACGACAGTTTAAAACATCACAAGATGGCACAAAACTCTGTCAGCTTCAGCTATCAGTAAACAAGTTTACAGATACTGCATAGATTTTCCGCATGAACTTACCTGTCAAATTTTGACCATAAATACGGTCACGTGATTACCAAATTTTCTAGGATGGATATATTACCTTAGTTATGGGACTACGCTCGTTCGCGCTTTGCGCGCGCGTAGAACTCCGCTATAATTTGAGGAAGTCAACGCTAAAACGTGAATTTTTGGTTCAACTGGAGCAGTTAGGCAACATTCCTAATAACCTTTGATTTCAGGACACCCTTAGATCCCTTGAAGTTTCCCCTTCCTCAAAGGTACAGAAACTCAAGAAAACTTGTGGATAAACGAGTTCCATTTGTATGCAGTGAAAGGGGAGGGTCTAGTCATGTGTACTGGTCGCATTTGCATATCACTGTTGATTCACTTTCATGAAAGATCTACAAATGCAATTTGTCCCAAGCATTTTGTAGTTTCATCTCCTGAAGTAGCTGAAGAATGCAGCCAAAAATAGGATGCATTCCCATTTTGACTATTAAAAGCCAGGTCACAAACGTTTGAGGTCACAAAATCGTTTTGTGAGTAAATGGTATCTCTTTCATTCTCAATTCATTACTCAAAACTACAAGGAAAATTAACAAGCTCTTGACACAAAATTTAGTATTGGGTTATCTTTGGGTATACAATCACATGTTATGCTATCCACAGGCAATTCCATTAACCGATAATATGGCTCGTTGTAACCAGTCTATTTCTCACGACAGTTCTTACCCCAGATATGATGAACTGATTTCGGATCGCAATGGCCTACCTGCAATAATGTAATTAATTGAATTTCTTCCTAATATGTATTACAGCAAAAAAAAAAATACATGGTAAGACTTTTAAAAGTGTATAAATAATAATATATAAGTGGAAACATGCCATTTACATGTACTCACACTGCACATTCACTCGTAGTGTATGACTCACTGGATTTCCTGCTCCATTGTAAGCTGTACAGCGGTAAATACCTGCCTCAATCCTGCTGATGTTTTTAAAATCCCAAGTGGAACCCCTGTGTAATACATCACTCTCACTACCACCTTTTACCCAGGTGATATTTGGAGTTGGTCTGCCAGATGCATCGCAGATCAGTTGCAGATGATGACCTTCTCGCAAAGACTTATCACTGCTTACATCAATGAACCTGGGTGGGGCTAAAAAATGACAAAAATGGTAAATTACTGTCAAGTAAGATTACCATACAAGACAACGCATATTATTTTTCAATTATAATCATATACTAAATTAAAAATCATAATAAAAGATATAACCTTGCACAATCTACCAATAACGTTGATTATAATTAGAGATATTTAGTGCCCACAGGCTCTAGCTAATTTCCGTTAGATACTTCGTACCCTTGAACGACTAAGAATGGATGACGTAGGCTTTCAACAGAATTATATTCAATGAAATAACCTCACCTAAAACAAACACTTCAATTTTACTTCTCCACCAGTTTCCAGGAACACTCAGCTGGCAGCTAAATACTCCTTCATCGGAAGTAGACACATTAAAGAAAATGAGAGTAATGTGCCCAGTGACCCAGGTTACGTTGAGTCTAGAGGTAAAGGCTTGGTTTACACTAACATCTCCAGCTGACGGCAATATGGTAGCTACCACACCAGTACCCTCTAATTCTAAAGTCACATATATAACTGTTTCGGTGAGACTAAACCTCCAGCTCAGCTGCTCGTTGGTAGACTCTTCATAAAGCTCTATTTTGCTTGTGTGAACAACGCTACGGTCTGAAACTGTCGTAACTGGAGGAGGCTCATACCAAGTGATACTTTGTGCATCTAATTTGAAATAACAAAGACTGTTCCATTAATATTAGAAACTAAATATTAACTAGTTATATCTAACACACTTACGTCTTACTTTATATTGGGATGATAGTCACAACTTATTAATCAGCTTACATATGTGTAACTGTAACTAATACATTTATGGGCAACTAAAGAAATGAAAAATCTTCTAAAATTGAAATTAGCACAATGGTGGATGTCAGTGCTTCCAATAATGTTTACTCATATTTGATTGATTGATTGATTGATTCTGATTCCGTCTCATCCCGTTTGCATCATACCATCGATCAATAGCAGCTACATCGGTTTTAATTATCTCCTGAGTTTGTCTGGTTTGTTCTCAGAGGAGAAAATCTGAGTGTCGTTAGCGCAAGTGGATAAAGTTGCAGTTGGCTTATTTCCTAAACCGGATCGTTCATAAACATATTGAATAACAAAGGCCCGAGTATTGACCACTGGGGCAACCCGGCACCAACTTCTCGCCAAGTGGAGTTTCTTGCGGTAGGGTGCTAGTGTCGAATAGCTTAATTAAGAGCAGTTGTCTGTAAGATTCGAACTATATTAAAAAGTCGCTGCCACACTATCCCACCGAACTGGCTAAAAATTGGCATGTAGACTTGATTTGCGGTCTTTAATAAGGAATAGGTAACTTTAAGTTGTAATTCCTCCTATTTCGGAAATTATCGACAAGGCCGGTTTGGGGGTGCTTCGGACCGGCGCCATATTGGTTAATAGAAGATGTTTTTGAGCCTTCGACTACAACCCTGTCTTCAAAGCTAATTTTCCTTTGACGATACACATTGAAAGAACTATCCCTCTTTATTGTATTTTTAGAAACTACTTCGAAATTGATAACGTTTTCGTAACGATCGATTAAACTTCTGGTGGGTATACTTTTTTGAAGTTTTTACACCCGTAAAATTAACAGAAATTCAAAGGCGTATATCTTTCTTGCCACATCGCATTGAAGCTTGCCACTCTGCCTGAATACTCATTGTTTGTAGTTAAATCGAGTACGTTAATAAAAAAATTGGGCAAATTTAATGGAGCGGAAACAAAAGTAATGAATGGAAGAGTGTTCTAGTGACTTTATCAAAGCCTTACACCGAATGCTCGCCAGGTGTTGCCAAAATTACAATCGATAATAGAAAATCTGAGTGGTATATATAATAAAATTAGCCTCTGTAATATAAGCGATAGCTCTGCTGCGAAAAACAGTAGAAAAAGGCAGATTGTGTAAGGAAAAGGAAAAGGGATTTGTTAAATTTATGCTACGACGCGTAAATAAAATGCAACCAGCACAGTCGAACTGGAATTTTCCTGATTTTCCTTCAGTTCCTTTATCGAAACCAGAGCTTTTAAAATTAACCATAATAATGAAAATTGAAATGCGTTACCTTACTCGACGACAAAGATGCCAATTTCCACCTTGACCGAAAAAAAAGTATAATTTTCCCACGCATATCGCGTGTCGATCGTCACGTTCCTTGCATGGCGTTACAACTCACGTGAAACCGCCTGGTTTCAAACAACTGAACTGCAATCCGTAAATATCGTAGCCAGGGAATAAATAATGGGATTGATATAAGTTATCATTATTAGTGAGCGAGGATGCGATGATAGTTCCAGCTACATGTATTTACAGCGTTTGAAGAACTCATGAGACATGAGACATGAGCCCTTGAAATAAACATCATTACTTCTGGTTTTGCAAACTGGGCGTCGGTAAAGTCAGTAATAAATAGACTCATTCTATCTTGAAAACCATTAACAACGGTTCCGTACAAAATTATTTAGCTATTATGTTTCAATCACAAATCTCGTTTTGGGGAGATTCTTGGTCTTTCCATAAAGTGCTTTGTCATAAACAGGAAAATTGGTTTGGAAGAGGTTGAGAAGAATGAGGGATGAGCACAGGAGATAAGAAAACCCCAGTCACCTCAGTGAGGGGCTTTAAAACTGTGCGCAAATGCCTCTCCCTAGGGACAATTCCAGGTTTTAGTTTTCTTGAAAAAGCTTAAAATCGCTAGTCCATTCATGGATAGCTCAAGAGAGTCCTAATTCTAAATAAAGGAAACAGCAAAGAAAATTCAGTAAGCGACCGGAGTGTTTATCCGATATCGCGAACAAAAAGGGTGTTCTTTCACGAAGGGTCTGAAGATGTGTCTGCAGTTTAATGTAAAATCATTCACCATGCTCACGGATCGTTCGACAACATAAGTGTACCGATTGATGTAATATCAGTGGTAAAAACGAACGCTGTTTACTGTAGGGCGATGACGTCATCATACAAAAGGCATCTTCACTCTGGCATCCTCATTTTCTAACCGTCAAAACCTAATTTTCTCTGCTCGTAAACTCGCCTCTGAAGACAAGTAGTGGTAATGTGCTTGTTAGTAAGACGTCCAACAAGCTGCGCCCATCGTACATAATCTCGTTTGGGCTCCCTTGAAAAATTGCATTTGATCAGAAGCCTTCAAGTTCATCCTCCGACGCGACAACATCATGATCTATTTTTACTAATGAGTGATTCAGTCTGGAACTATCCTATGGCTTTTCCTTTCGGGTCTTCAGGAGCGTCTCTATTAGGAGCGTAACCAGGATTTTCCAGGTGTGCGCCCAATTCTCAAAACTTACTTTAACTTCTTACTCAGTTCTCTCGGAACGTTTCCCCATTACATTTGCTAATTCTGTTGACTAGGTGAGGTTATGCGTGGATAAAATGGCACTTGCAATCGGTGAGAAAAATTTTCCTCAAGGACGGCTCTCACGTTTTACTGACACTGGTTGTCTTTTCACTAGGCTGTTAAGTAAGACTTAAAGGTCAAATGAACCAAAAAATTGACATATTTTCTTTTGTCGCTTTACCTTCACCAAACACTAAAAAGAACCATCCTAAGTGAGATTTGGGTAAACATTTTTCTTCCCAAGCTTTTATAGAAAGATAAAAGATCAAAATCGGAGCATTTCCGAAAACTTCACGAAAACGTTTCTGAAATGGCCGCGTGATAGACTGGAGACTACGTGACCTCAATGTTCGTCTTTCAGGGCGGAAAAACGTTCTGCGCATCCCTTATTGCCTGCGTTTGTTTGTCTCGTTCTGTGAGAGTTCTGACTGAGACTGAATGAAATACACGAGGTGCGAACGTTTGCTCCTTGTAAAGGCTTTTTTTTTTGTTTTTGCTGTTGTTGTTGTTTTTTCGTCACTTGAAAATTACTTTGGATTCATAACAACCAATGTTAGAGTAAAAACAGATCATCCGTCAGTCTGAGGAGGAATAAAACGTTTTCAACATTTCCAAAGAGGTTTGTGTTTTTCTGATAACTGTGCATTCGATTTGTGAATAGATTTTGTGTCCAGTTCTTCGCCTTCTTTCGCCGGAGTGAATTAAAACCCGCTTGTATTCTGTTATTAGTAGTTACGGTTAGTTTTTTTACATTCCCAGATTTATTTACCTTTGCAGAACCAGCTTTATCCTTGTCTTATGTCAAAGAACCGTAATGCTAACGCTTGGCAGTGAACAAACTTGAGCGCTTAAAACTTCCTCGGAACTTTAGAAGGCCAGCAAGCTTACTCGAGAAGAAAAGACTACTTCGATCATTTTTCTGTCTTCTTCTTCAGTTTTAATTACATAGTTTTGTTATCTCTCTGTACGCAAATTTTCCTTTCACTCGCTGTGAAGTAGTGGAGAACGACAACTGCCGGCAGTGACTCCAAAACCATCGACTCTTTGCCCGTAAACAATTGCTGGAGCTGGATTTGACTGAAGCGAGCAAAACAAATCCTTATCTGCAGTTTTCTGTATTTTCTAATGATTCAGTTTGCTGAGTTTAATTTGCTTGAATGAAGACCCTCGAATGGACCAGTTATTACTAAAAAAAGTAGCTAATCTAACTAAGTAGTCGGAATCATGGCTTGGCTGCGAAGCTTGCAACTGATCTCTTGCTTTTAAGATCTTTAGGTAGGTTGTTTCCGTACAGAAAATTCACTTCTTTGTCAGCAGGTATAAGAGCCTTAAGCCTTATGTTTTTTTAAATGAAAATTTGTTGTTTTGCAACCTTATTGAAGCTTTTTTTAGTTCACTTATTAAAGCTGCATTTTATGCATGATGGAATTGTTCTTTGCTTGTCGCATCTCTTTGCCAGCTTAAAGTGGCGTCTATCGTCCTTAAAGTGACCTCAATCGGTAATTAAATCTTATACATAATTGGAAAGAAGTTTTTGCAATAATGTAACTTTAACTTTGTTTGAAGGAAATCTTACTTTCGCGTAGGTTTTTAACAGGTGTTATGCATGTTCAACTTGGCAACACAAAGCAAAATTAATCTGCGCGAAACGATCAAGTTCAAAAAAACTATGTGTAACCGAAGTCACGCGTATTAGTGTCCAACCGCTTTATTTTATAAATCACACTCCTACGGTACTGTACAACCAAAAATACAAAGAATACGAAATTACGAAAAATGTAGAAATCAGTACAAAATAACAAATACATCAAAGAAAACGGAAAAGCGTACAAATGGCGTATGACTAAAATTTACCTTAACGGTTTCTTGACTTAACGTTAAAAGGAATGAGCTGTTCTTGACCGATAAAAACTGTAAAAAACACTGACCGACAAGACTAAGTTTATACCAAAAAACTTGACAGATTACGTAACATTACGCAACGATGGTGACACCAAAAAGAAAGTAAACAATATAACAAAAGAAAACTATAAACAATTACAACTAATTGCAAGTAGACGCGAACAAAAAAAACAAAGAAAACCCTAAGTTCTAGAAGTTTCGCTTTAACACACCGGCCTCGAAAGGCAGACGGGCATTCAAGCCTTGCCTTTCTTAAGAAAACTAAGCGAAACTAGTAAACGAAACTTATTTAGAATATTCAAAAACCTTATCTACAATTAACATCTTAATTGCTTTACACAGTTCGCAACGTATTTATGAGCTAAGTGATCACTGCAATCAGGGACTTCCTTTCCAGCAACTGGCTCCTTTTTGTCCAAAACCT